TAAAATTGCATGGAATTACTTACTCGGGGGTTTTCGGGGTCGCTGATTACGAATTTTAAAAGTGCAATTTGAAAAATTGAATACTACAAATTCATAAATTTCTAGTTGTTTTGTAGATTTTATTTTGTTTGTTATCGTCACGTTTTTCTGGAGTTGCCCAACTCTCAGTAATATTGTATTAAATTTATTTTAAGTTTAATTTTATTTTTTCTAAAATGTGGAGAAATAATGAAAAAATTCCTACGAAGCTGGGATCGAACTCGGATACCTTGGGCTTGAAACACTGCGCCTTAAGCACCTCAGCCGTTCAAGACAGATATGAACCTCTACAAAGTTAACGATCTCATTTGTCAATGAAATGAATTTAACTTAGAAAAATTCCAATGAATTTCACATTCATAAATTTCTAAGTCCAAGTTGAACTTAGAAAATAATATTTTCTATTTATGAAAATTTTTCTATTTTCAAATGTTGAATGAAAAAGACGTCTTTTAGACACTTTAAAGACATCTAATGGCCAAGACATAGAACATGAATAGGACGTCTTTAAGACGTCTTTTTGTACAAGTCCAAAAGACGTCCGCAAAAAAACATCCTTAGGACGTCTTTTGAACAAGAGTGCCCACTGGGTTAGAGGCATTATAAAATAGAATATTTCTGCATTATTAGATTTTAAGAATTCTAAATTTTTCCTACAAATTTTTCGCTTTTTCAAAAACGTCTGTTTTTGTATTTTCCAAAAAAGTTGGGGTGATGTGCAACACCAGTAAAATTCACGTATGTAATGCATAAATATCGATGAAAATCTCTTCAATTATTAATTTTAGGCTTTTTCAATGTAAACTAATCGAAATCTGCCAAAAAAAATTTACTAAGGTATAGCCCAGGTTAAAATCCCCATACAGGATCCTTAAAGGATCCTCTCGGGATCCTGTGCAGGTCCTGTGAAGGATCCCGACCGGATCCCGTACCCGTCCTGTACAGGATCCCGACCGGATCCCGTGCAGGAAATTGGGACAAGGTTCCTGTGCAGGTTCCGATGCAGGAACCTTAGCTATCGGAGGTTCCTGTAAAGGTTTCTGTACAGGAACACTTGCAGGATCATGTAAAGGAAACTTTTTAATTTTTTTAATTTTTATATGTTAAGTAACATTTGACATACATAGACTTCATATTTCAATATGTTAGGCTCGTATAACAATGTTGGACAGAAAAATGTATTGCGCATTCGAGAAACTCATAGAAAACTACTGCGCAGGAGTTAAAAATATAAATAAATTAATTGAGGAAACTGTGTAGGATCCTTTACGGGTTCCTTACAGGATCCTTTATACTTAAGTACCTGCAGTTTACAAAACTGTAAAGGTTCCTTTGCAGGAACCTTTACAAAGTTTCCTGTACATGATCCTGCAAGTGTTCCTGTACAGGAACCTTTACAGGAACCTCTGATAGCTAAGGTTCCTGCATCGGAACCTGCACAGGAACCTTGTCCCAATTTCCTGCACGGGATCCGGTCGGGATCCTGTACAGGACGGGTACGGGATCCGGTCGGGATCCTACACAGGACCTGCACAGGATCCCGAGAGGATCCTTTAAGGATCCTGTACGGGGATTTTAACCTGGGAGTTGACCTCTAAAAAGTGGAGATTTCACCAAAGAAAACAAATTTTATTTTGTTTAATTTTTTATTTATTCATAACTGAATAAGGAATATAATTAAAGGAAAATAACAAATAATTTTTTATTTATCATGTGAATCGCAGTTATGGCACGTAAAAAGTAGTTACATACGTCCACCCCAAAAAAAGTGTTGCACATCACCCCAAATATGATATTTTGCGAAAAATGATTTGTAGGCAATACAATGCAATGGAAACACAAAATATAAACAGATATTTAAAAACACTTAAAAAAGCAACAATAAGCACATTCTTATCTATAAAATAAATTAAAACCCTTCACGAAACGACTAGAAAAATAAAAAGCGAGAAATATTTCCTTCCCGAGAAATTTAAGTGAATTACGTACAGCAAACCTGGCTGCGAGCTGTCTCGTGAGTTTTATATCAAAAACAAGCTACTGAGGATACAAAAAATGGCAATACTTGGCTCTGTTCAATATCGAACTATAGATCAGAAATCGGCGGTGTTGCAATTTTATCTATTTTAAAAAAATTTTATCCGCCATATTAGATCCGACATTTTGAATTTTTAAAATTGAACTTCATATTCGTAATCAGCGACCCCAAAAACTAAAACTTTAGTCAAGTCAAGGAAGTTTTACCGAACTATTCCTGAAAACTAACACTTTAGGCAAGTCAAGAAAGTTTTACCGAACTATTCCTGAAACGTTAGTGCCCATCAAGGAGGTATTTATTTAATTTACATTAAACGTTCAGTTTCAATTTTTTTTCAACTTTTACAGTACTAGTTCTTAAGGAATAAAGATATCACATTAGATTTTAAATATTGTTACCGAAAAAATAATATAAAAATTATTAAAAATTACGATTATGCTACTATATCCCAACTTTATTGAAAAATTCGGTAAAATGTAAGGAACAAATTTTCTCCGTGTGTGCACTGGGAGATTTTTTGAAACATTTAGATAGTTTTCGAAACGTAAGTTGCCTTCTTGAAGATGCTGAATATCACGTGATTACTTATCAAGCTAAACACGACTTAATGAATGTGCAAATACTTTAAAAAAACCTATTTTATCTATTTCAATTGCAATACCAATCACCGTATGTTGAAAAGATTAATGAAATAATTCTCAAAGCTTCTGGTTTTGGATTACTCATCGAATTTTATGAACAAACTCCGAATTTATCAAGTAGCCTAAAGGAACCAGAGTTTATAACAAAGGAAAAATTATTGCCATTGCTTGTTTGTATACTAGTTGGTGGATACTCTCTTTCTATTATTGTGTTTCTTCTAGAAGTACTCACAGCAAAACCAAAATCTGGTTTTGTAAATTAACAAGTAACTTACTGTGCAAGAATAATTTTCCATTTAATGTAGATTCTAAATTCCTGAGTACTTAAAAATAAAACCTTTTATGAATAGTGAATAAAACATAACTTATCTAATGAATTATTCTTCTTTTATTAAATTAATTAGCATCGTGCTCTTCTAGCGTTCTCATCGTGTTTATCAGTACGATTATATTTTTTATTTCATTTTTATATATAATTTAAAAAAAGTCCATTCATATTCAATCCACTTATTTTATTGTACAAAATGATAAGCAATAAAGGAAATATTGTTCCTAAAAGATTCTCCCTACCAGAGCATACAAAAAATATTTTTAAAGGACCAGGATATCAATTCTTAAAAATTACAATATTCTGCAAAGTAAAAAATTTCTGAAAATTTTTATTATTTAAAAAAATACACAATTATACCTGTGTAATACAAAATTTATTAAATCTAACATTGTCGATATTATTTTTTTTGAATAAATGAAGTTTGTTTGCATAAAAAATAAAAAGACATGCTTAATATATTTCTATAAATTACATGTTGAAAATGCACATTATTTACACATTTGCAGAAGAAAAACATCAAATACAATTTGCATGAAAATAAAAGTGTTTAATTTGAATTTTTCATTACGCTCAGGTATATGAAAAATTGTCGAAATAATGCATATCTTTACATATATCTATACATATTATCTAAGAATTGCATCTATAAATTTGAATTTTTTGCTTTTTCGTTTAAGAGAACAGTTTTAATAAATTGAAACATTATATCACTATTGAGTGAATTATTAATGAGAAACCCATTAGCGTAAACGAACAAGCAATATTTATTTTATCACATTTGTAAATTAACTATTATTTAGCGAAAATAATTACATTTTTTAAATCGCTTTTGGTGTTACGATACTACATCTATATTACAATAGTATTTACAATCATCCTCTATTCAATATGTTTTGTAAATGCCGTACAAAAGTAAAAACGTACTCAAAGTTTGTTTTATTTATTTTCGAACAGATTAAATGTAAAGTGATTTTAAAATTGTATAAAAAGAAGGCACCTAAGTAAAAACATGTTATTTTCACTTAGAAGCCATCAAAAAGTCCGTATTTATATCAAAAGTTGAAAATATGTTTTTTAGTTTAAAATATTGTATAGCGTGTTCGTAAAGATTTATAAACCTGAGTTATTTGAGGGAATGTTACATCAGGACGTTAAATTTTACTTTCGCAAAGATACCTTAGAACCACATCTGAGGCAGCATTAATCACAAATCGTCACTTTTAAGCCTACACTTGAAACAAGCTCATAAAATAAATTTTTGTCTTTTCATCCTTTCAATATTTCGAAAAAAGATAATATTGTGGAATGTCTTCTTTTTAAGAAAAAAACAGAACTTTACAAACATCATATTATATAAACTATATTACAATCAATTTATATAATTTTTTTTAAGTAGAGAAAAATTCTTTTTTGATAAATTTCTTTAAATAATCTTTAATGGCCAACAAGAAATAAAAATGAATATATTTATATATTCTTAAAAACTATAAATTAATAATATCAAAGATATACAATGAGATTGTATTAATAATGTTCCTGCAGCGATTAAATCGTTTACTACAATCGTCATATCAAAATAATTCCTACTCTCTTCTTGATTCTTTTACACGTTTTAATTTGGCAAAAAATTATTAAATCTATCGTGTACTTATTCTATTATCATTTTTTTCATATTTTTGTTTCAGCATTTTTTCTATACTAATTTTTTTTCTTTTTTTAATGAAATATATCGTTAATTCATTATAATTAATTAATTATATAAAAATGATTTGTTTTCTTTGAAAAGATATTAGAAAATTAATATTGCTTAATTTTTGCTTAACTAATCTCACATTATTTTTAATGTGCGCTCTTCTTTTTTTCTGAAATTTTTGTTAATTTGTTGAATTCTAGACTAATTATATTTAGCACCAATAAATTGATCTTTGTACGTCAAGTTCAGAAAAATATGTAAATCAAAATAGCGAAGCTATATTATCGAAAAACATTGCAAATTAATTCATGAGATAAATATAATTTTACAATTGGTTATAGAAACTAGATTTGTGTTCAGAATTATAAAAGGTAATTTTGTTCCCAATGGAAACGATAATTTTTGTATTATAATTCTAGCTCTTCGGCAGTGCGAGACAGTCGATGATTATCGATTCGGCGACGCTGACTTCGTCTAACGGCATCGGCACGACGATAAGGTTCAGATCTCAATCCAAGAAGAATGTCTTCCAGTGCACCATTATACACTTCATCTTGTTGCAAAAGCTTCTTCTCTTGTACCATTTTTGTCTTGCTTTTTAGTTCATTTATAACAGCATCCTAAGGTACAAAAAGGAACGATAATTATAAATGTAATAAATTGTACAGACAAAATCAATTTATTACTATAAATGGAACAAATTCACGCAATTATCTTGATAAATAAAACAAAATTCTTCACAGAAATTCAATTATTTTTAGTAAAAAAATTCTTTGCAAAATTCAATTCTTTTCATAAATAACAATATTTATCACAAGAATTCAATTATTTTCAAATGTTAATAAAATTTTTCGAAGAAATTCAATTATTTTTTTAAAAACTTTAACGAATATTTCATCAAGCATTCAATTATCTTTACAATTAGCAACATTTTTTGCCAAAAATTCAATTATTTTCAAAAATTTATAAATAAAATTCTTTGCAAAATTTCAATTTTTTCAAAAGTTTTTCGCATATTCAATAAATTTCAATATTTACTATTTTCATCAAATTTATCAAAAGAATTAATTACTGAAAAAATTTTATGATACAATTCTACGATAACATTCAATTATTTTCATAAATAAAAAAATTTCATTTAGGAATTAAATTATTTTTATAGCAGAATTTCAAATATTTTTAATATAATTTTAAATAAACTCCTCGAAAAATGCAATTATTCTTAAAAATTTTATTAAAATTTGACGAAAGAATTCAATTTTTAGAAACATTCAACTATTCAATAAAATAATAAAATTCGATGCAATAATTTCAAAAAATTTTAAGTAATTCTGCAAAAAAATTCAATTATTTTGATAAACAACAAAATTTTTCACAGAAATTTCAATTATTTTTAGGAGTTTTTTAATAAAAATCTTTTTCAAAATTCAATTATTTTGAGAAATATTAAAATTTCTCACAAGAATTCAATTCTTTTTGAAAAGTAATAAAATATTTTGCAGAAATTAAACTTTTTTCAAATTTTTTTTAAAATTCTCGTGAAGAATTAAATTATTGTCAAAAATTTGTAATATCTATAATTCTTGGCAAAATTTTAATTATTTAAACAAAATTTAATAAAATTCTTCGCATGAATTCAATTATTTTCATAAATTATTATTTAAATTCTTCTCAGAAATTCTTGCAAAGAATTTTTTTTAAAAAAGTTAAAATAATTAATTTCTTTCGACTAATTTTATTTAAATTCTAATTTAAATACTGGAATTCTTGATAAATTTTTATTATTCATGAAAAAAATTGAATTCTTACAAATATTTTTACAAAAAAATTTCTAAATAATTTAATTCTGTTTGGAAATTTTATTAAAATAGTAGATATTGAAATTAATTGAATTGCAAAAAGTTTTTAAAAATAATTAAATTTAACAAAGAAATCTATTAAAATTTTTGATAATAATTAAATATCTGTGTGGCATTTTATTAAATTTTTTTTTGAAAATAATTGAATTTCTAAATTAAAAGCATTTTATTATTTCTGAAAATAATTGAATTCTTGCGAAAGATTTTATTAGAATTTTTTTAAATAATTGAATTTCCAAAAAGAAATTTATTAATTTGAAAAATAATAATTGAATTCTTGTGATGAATATTGTTATTTATGAAAATATTTACTTTTTGCAAAGAATTTTATTAAAATGCCTCAAAATAATTGAATTTTCGGGAATAATTTTGTTATTTATCTTTAATAATTGAATTCTTTCCAAAAATTATTTATGTAAATAATTGAATTCTTGGGAAAAATTTTATTAAAATCTAAAAGAATAATTGAATTATTTCAAAAAAATTTAATTAAAATTATATTGAAAATAATTGATTTCTTTCGAGCAGTTTTATTAAAATATTAAAAAATAATTTAATTCTCGTGAAAAATTATAATATTTTTGTAAATAATTGAATTCTTCCAAAGAATTTAAAAAAACAATTTTTTCAATAATTGATTTTTTTGAGGAATTGAAATTAAATTTTTAAGTATAATTACATTTTTGAGCAATTTCTGTAAAAATGTATTAAAAATAATTGAAATCCTGCGATGTATTTTATTATTTATGAAAATAATTGAATAGTTGAAAAGAATTTTATTAAAATTTTCAAAAATAATTGAATTCCTGAGAAGAATTATTTATGAAAATAATTGAATCATTGCGAAAAATTTTATTTAAATGTTCTATAAATCTAGTATTTATGAAAATTGTAAAAATTATTCATTAAATAATTTATAAGTCATAATTTTATGATATTACCTGTTGCTTCTTTTGGTTTAATTTATTTCTCTTAATAACTTCTTCTGAAGTGTTCAGTGCTTCGGCAGCAGCTAGTTCTAGTCTTCGACGTTGTTCATTTTCTTGATCCGCAGTCTGCAGAATAAATCGATTCAATTAGCATTAAAAGTTTAACTACCTTAAAAAAACCTTAAAATAACTTTTAAGAAACTGAGGTAATCACCTTAAATGCTCTGGCGAATCTGACAAGAAGCGAGAAGAAAGAATTAGCATCAGCTTGCCTTGGACTCTCACCAAAAAATTCAATGCATTCTCTAAAAGCTTCTCCTGCTGTTCGAGAATCAGCTTTTAATCTTCGTAATTTTTCCTCTGAATTATTCAAAAAATCGCGTAAAACTGTATTGTGCTTTTCTTTACCACGAAGCTCAAATTCCTTACGAACAAGATCCATTCCTTTCTCCAATTCATGAACGTCTGTAGTTATGTTCTCGAGGGAAACTAAAAATATATAAACAAAATCGTTATTTTAAATTCTTTATTTCTTAAATTGAAAGTGGTGTAAATTTCTCATAAAAAAAAGATTATTTTGAACAGTTAAAAAAAACACAAATCATCAAAATATAATTACCAGTTGCTGCTTTGTCAATATACATCAATTCCGATTCAAAGTTGATAAGTTCAAGGAATTTCAATCGTATTGTTGCTACAATGTAGTGCAGAAGGCACATTCTTTTATCAGTTGACTTGGTGTCCAGTAAAGTATCCAAACTTTGTAATTTAAATCCATAAGCAGGACCTCGTTTACTGCTATTCAAATAATTACCGAAGGCAAGAATTATTTCTAAAACAGCTCTTAATTTCTTGGAGCTTTTCACTGAACTTGAAGCAGATATCACAGCATGAATTTGTGGCGTAATAAGATGTAAATTGTCAAAGAAATTCCCGATATAATTCATTATCGATAATTTAGATGATATTCTTTCAACTTTGCCGAGTTGCATCAAGAATTTATCTTCCTCCGTCAGAAGATTCACATTCTTTTTATTTATTATATATTCACGATATACTTTAATCTAAAGAAAAAAGAACATTTTTCATTAAATAAAATTTACGATAGAAAAAAAATTATAATTTGTTATAGATACTTACTTCTTGATCAGTTGGGACCATTCTTTGAAGTAACTCAACATTTTCTAGGGAAAGTATTTTTAGATCGAGACCATTAACTGCAGTAATAACTTTGTCAACAGGCATTTCCAACTTTCTTCTTGATATTGCTGAAAATTTATAAAAGTTAAATAAAAAAAATACGGTATAATGCTTAAAATTAATTTTTCCTTTCATAATAATCTCGACAGTAAAAGTTCTCAAATGAGAGTAATATTCACATAAAAAGTTAACAGGCCTCGGATCGACTTTAACGAACGAAAAAAGTCGCTTTAGTCGATTAAAAATAGGAAAAAAGCCGAAAAAGTCGTTTATTTAATTTAGTGTTGTCACAAAATTTTTGTATTTCCCTGATTCTTCACTGATTTCTAAATTCAATTAATCAAAACTTGTATAATTTTGCTAAATAAAATACTTAAATACTCCTCATTTCTTTTTTCACCAGGAAATAAAATTTAAAAAATTTCAAATTCTGAAATTTAATAATTTATTTCTAAAAATAAAAACTATAATCCTTACAAAAATTCAATTATTTTCTACAATTTTTAACTAAACTTCATTTCTAAATCAATTATCCATATAACTTTTTAATATTTTTCCGAAAGTTCTTCAAGAATTCAATTATTTAAATAGAAAAATTCAATTTTTTATAATTATTGAAACCGTTCATTTTTCTTTTTAAAGATACATATTAAAGTAGAATATATTCAAAAATTTTAATAAATAAATTCGTAAAATTAACTTTTTAAAAATATTTCTAAATAATTTTTGAAAGACGCAATAATTTTACAATTACATAACAATGAAAAATTTTTTTAAAAAAATTGAAATTTGGTAAAATCTTTTTAAAAAATAATTTAAATGTATTAAAATCTTTGAAAAATAATTAAAATTTACAATGAATTTTAATTAAATTCCTTAAAATAATTAAATTTGTCAAGAAGTTTTAATAAAATTTCTGAAAATAATTGAATTTTGCAAAGAGTTTTATTAAAATTCATGAAAATAATTGAATTTTTCAATAATTTAAAAAAAATCCTGAAAATTGAATTTAGACAAAAAATTTTATTAAAATTCCTGAAAATAATTGAATTTTAAAATAAATTATTTTAAAATTCCTGTAAATTGGATGTAGACAAAAATTTTATTAAAATTCATTAAAACAATTGAATTTTGCAACGAATTTTAATAAAATTCCCGAAAATTGAATTTAGACAAAAATTTTATTAAAATTTCTGAAAATAATTGAATTTTGCAACGAATTTTAATAAAATTCCTAAAAATTAAATTTAGACAAGAATTTTATTAAAATTTCTGTAAATAATTGAATTTTGCAAAGAGTTTTATTAAAATTCATGAAAATAATTGAATTTTTCAATAAATTTTTTAAAAATTCCTAACAAATAGAATTTAGACAGAAATTTTATTAAAATTCATGAAAATAATTGAATTTTGCAACGAATTTTAATAAAATTCCTGAAAATTGAATTTAGACAAAAATTTTATTGAAATTCAGGAAAATTAGTGAATTTTCCAACGAACTTTAATAAAATCCCCTAAAATAATTAAACTTTGCAAAAAAATTTATCAATTAAATAAATAATTGAGTTTTTAAAAAATATTTAAAAAATAACCAAATTTTTGATGAATTTTAATTATAGGGGAGAGTCTCCAGTTGTGAGACACCTCCAGTTGTGAGACAGTCAATTTTTTTTAACATGCAATATTAAAAAGACGATTGGTTTATATAAAAACATTTCTTTTTATATGAGCCAACTTTTTCGTGTACGCCGAAGCGGATATATAAACTGTTTTTGTTAAATACCAACACTGTGTGTGATAATCGACTAAAAAGCGTTTTTTCAATAAATGTAAAGTACTTTTTTCCAAGTTAATTAATTGGAAAAGGTAAATGTAATGCATTTTCTTTTAGTGTTTTCCTTATATTTTGTGATGCAATATTGCATTGTTCCAATCTACGGTTGAAAATAATTTAATTTTCCTTTTTCAAAATAGCGCCAATTTCTGGGTGTGAGACACAGCATATCACCAGTTGTGAGACGGTGTCAACACCCATCTGGGCAGCATAAAAAATACGACTTTGCAGGCATACTATTTAAATGTTGTTTTCATTTCTTTTTCTAGTATTTTTGAGCATGTCAAGTGGAAAAAAGTCAATTGATTCAGAAGAAATCAATTTTAATGCTCTTGTTGAAGCTATTAAATGATGTTTATTTGATAGACATATTTTGGCGAATAAATATTATTATTTAGTATATAATAATATATATTATTAATATATTTAATTATTTCTACTAGACATAACGTTTTATGCCAAACTTATTAAATTTTAGCGCTTTTTAATGAGTGTCTCACAACTGGAGACATTTTTTTTTTTTGAAAAAAGCGATGTGCTCGGAAAATGTATCGTAAAATTTTCTGAGTTCATCGAAACACTACACTTTCTTTTAATAAAAGTTGCGTATTTCTGTTACCTTTCGAACGGTGTATTTTATTTACAATTTTGTTTACCCGTTTACAATTTACGGGTCAAAAATGAAACCCGTCTCACAACTGGAGACTCTCCCCTAAATAATTTCTCAAAAATTCTAAAAAAGTGAATTTTTAAAAATTTTAAATTACTTTGTCAGTGAATTACTTTTTTCAAAACTATTTTAATATTTTCATTTTTTATCGAATTTACACTTAAAAATTATTGATTAAAATTTTTAAAAATTCAATTATCCAAAATTTTCAATAAAAATTCTAGGTATAATATGTTAATTTTCAAAAATTATAATAAAACACTTGAAAAAAAGGATTTATTTTCAATTAATTTTACTAAATTTCAATTATTCAAAATCTTTTTAATTGTATATTTGAAAAATTTAATTAGAAAAAATTTTCAAAATTAATTTTTGAAATATTTATCTACAGCTATTTTTTATACTGCGCGTAAAAATCGAAAAAAGTTGCAGCATTTTATACTAAAAATATGTTATTTTGTCTTAAAATTTGGAAGAAAAGTCGAAAAAGTCGTAATTTTTTAATATAAGTCGATAAAAGTCGAAATAATCATAATATCCGAGGCCTGAAAGTACTATCAGTGATTGCTTTAACTACCAAATATTTTGAAATTTTATTTAAAATTGCACGGGGAGTTGGAGGTTAAAAATTTCTGTCTAGTTTAAATAGTCATTAAGTTTTAAGAATAAAAATTTTAGTCTTACCAATATTCCGCAATCTCGTGTGTTCCAAAAGAGTAATATTCTCGGGCTTTTTAAATCTTTTACTTGGGAAACTTTGAAGTCCATCAAATTCATTATTTCCATTGGCAATGTGTCCGACCATTCCAAGTTTAAAACGTTCTTCAAAGTCAGAGAAGTCAATGAAGTTATGAAGTCGTTCGTCATCTAATTCATTGAAAATTGTGCCTCGAACTTGATTTGGTTTAAGGGCAACCCAATTTAATGTCGGAAGTTTATACTTCGTTTGCACCTGAAATAAGTTAATAAAATTTAATTTTATTTAACCGTAAATAGGTATGTTACACGTACTGAGGATTGCTACAAAAAATGAATTTTCTTTTTTCCTGACTTTTCCCTGATTTCCAGACAAAATTTTGAATTTTTTCCTGACCCAAAAGAATATTCTGATTCTCAGATTTAAACCTTTTTAAATTTAATAACTTTTAAGAATATTATTATAAAACATGAAGATATCGAGCACTCCGAGTCTTCGACTCGGAGTGTTCGTTATCTTCATGTTTTATAATAATTTAAGTTTCTATAAATCTTTTCAAAAAAAAAAATAAATTAAATTATTTACAAAAATTTTAATAAAATCCTTCGCAAGAATTTAATTATTTTTATAAGTAATACAATTTTTCACATAAATTCAATTATTTAAAAATTTTTTATAAAATTCGTTGTAAGAATTCAATTATTATTATCGTAAATAATAAAATTTTTCCTAGGAATTAATTTCATTAAATTATTTTTAGTACAATTTTGAATGAATTAATCGAAAAATTTAATTATTTTCAAACATTTTTTGCAAGAATTCAATTACATTTCACAAATAATGAAATTCTTCGCTGGAATCAAAATATTTTTAAAATCTACTAATTTCATAAAATTTCTCAAAAGAATTAAATTATTTTCATGAATAATAAAATTCTTCACAGGATTTCAATTATTAAAAAAAATGTAATAATATTTCTGTGAAATGTTTATTATTTATAAAAAAATAATTGAATTTTGTAGAAGAATTTTATTATTTCTAACGATAATTGAAATTTTAGCTAGAATTTTTTAAAAATTTTTGAACCAAATTGAATTTTTGCAAAGATTTATAACTTCTTTAAAATACAATATTTTTTAAGTGCTTTTAACTAAAATTCTTTTATAAATGCATGATTTTTAATAAATAATTAAATATATATTAAAAAATAAAATGAAACTCATTATAAATCCTGCTAATATAATTTTTTCCAGTACTTTAATAAAAATCCCTGACTTTTCCCTGATTTCCCTGACTTGTTCAATTATTGTTTTCCACAATTTTTAACTAAAATTCTTCTTTATAAAGTGTAAATTAATTATTATTAATAATTTCTGAAAAATTTCTTTCAACATTTTCAAATCCTTTTGTTTACAATTCAATTTTACGAAATTTCATCGATTATTCAAGTACTCGGAAATTCTTCAATCAAATATATATTAAAAAATAAAAACTTCAAATAACTTCAAAAAAAAATTAATTCAACTTTTACAAAAAAATTAAATCTACACAATTTTAAGTTAAAAGTATGAAAAATTCAAACATTCAAAGATTATAATTTGAAACCTTTTCGAAACTCAATTATTATCTAAAGTTTTAACTGAAATTCATATTTGAATCAATTATCATTAGAAAATTCTACGACAACTCAATTATTTAAATACAAAAAAAATAATTTATTGAAGAATTAAATGTTTTTTAAAATTCAACTCTCATTTAAAGAATTTTATCAACAAATTTTTAAATAGGTAATTAAAATTCTTTTTACGAATTTCAATAAAATTTTTAAGAATAATTTCATTTTTCGAGAAATTGGATTAAAAATGTATTAAAAATATTGGAAACTGTAAAAAAATTTCATTGAATTGAGAAAAGTTTTTGAAAATAATTGAAATTTTGTCAAGAATTTTATTAAAACTTTTTTAAATAATTGAAATATTACCAAGAATTTTATTAAAATTTTTGAAAATAATTGAATTTTAGAGAAAAATTTTAATATTAATAAAAATAATTGAACTTTTGACTATAACTTTTTTTAAACTTTTGACCATAATTGAATTTCTGCTAAGAATTTTATAACTTTTGAAAATAATTGAATTCTTGAGACGAATTTTTTAATAATATTTCTTTTTTAAATACCTAATTATTTGTAATACAAAAATAAATAATTTATTGAATAATTGAATGTTTCTCAAAATTCAATTCTTATAAAGAATTTTATTAACAAATTTTTAAATAATTGAATTCTTTTGACGAATTTTAATAAAATTTTAAATATAATTCCATTTTTCGAAGAATTCGATTAAAATTGTATAAAAAATAATTGAAATTCTGCAATGAGTTTTATTATCTATGAAAATAATAATTGAATCTCTGTAAACATAAATTGAATATTTTTGAAAATAATAGACTTATTGCGAAGAAATTTATAAAAAATGTTTTAAATAATTCATTTCTTTTGGAAAATTTTATTAAAATACAGTAGATATTGAAAATCATTGACTGGAGGAGAATTTTTGAAAAAAAAATTGAATTTGTTATAAAGAATTTCATTAAAATTTTTGAAAATAATTGAATTTTGGGGATAAAATTTAATATTTATAAAGATAATTGAAATTTTGACGATAAATTTTTTGAAACTTTTGACCATAATTTAATTTCTGCGAAGAATTTTATTAGTTTTGAAAATAATTGAATTTCTTTGATGAATTTGAATAAAATTTTTAAGAATAATTTTCTTTTTTTCGAGAAATTCCATTAAAATTGTATTAAAAATAATTGAAATTTTGCGATGAGTTTTATTATTTATGAAAATAATTGTAAATCTATAAATTTTTTGATTATTTATGAAAATAATTGAATTATCGCGAAGAAAAATTGTAAAGGCAACTCTTTTAAAATTGATATAAGAAAATTGAATTAAGGAAAAATTATATTTCAAGAATAAGCACAATAACTTTAGAAAACAATAATTTTCCAGGATTCCAATTAAAATTCCCTGACTTTTCCAGGTTTTTTCAAGGTTTATAAAAATTCCCTGAATATGCCTGTGTGTACACACTTATTGTATGAAATAAAAATAAAAGTTTCTTACTTTTCGTTTTATGGTCATAGCTCCATCGGGTGCTTGCATCATTCCTGCAGGTGGTGGTGGAATTGGAACTGGTGGCGATCCTCTGTTGTCTTTCATGGAAAGTGTTGCTGGAGGTGGAGGCGGACAAGGAGGTGGCGGAGGCGGTGGTGGAGGAGGAGCAGGAGCTGAAACTTGCATTGGGGAAGTCGCTGATATTATCGTCAATGATGATCTATTTTCCGTTGTTGGGGAGTTAGTTGCACTTCCATTTCGAAGACATATGACTGTAATAATAAAAATAGAAATTATTTAATATCTTAACTTAGTAGTAGAAATTTTGTTTCTTTCTTAATATTAAGGTCAATCCGTTAAAAATTTTAACAGCAATGAATTAAAATTGTAAAGTGTCCAACTACTGCATGATGCCGAGTATTTAGCCTATTTATCTGAATAATTGTTTTACTCACTCTCACCAGACGATCCTTTAGTAAGGGTTCCTGTTAATGATTCTAGTTCCATAATTTTACTTTCTAAAACGCTTTGTCGCCGGGCAGAGTCCTGCTTTTGTCGCTTTAAAGCTATGAGTTCTTCTTCAATTAATCTACGAGCTTCCAACGCATCAGCAAATTCAATCTTTGTAGCTCCTAATTCGGTTTCCAGTTCTGCTAACTTCGCTAGAGATTCTCTTTCCAATTCGGTCATCCTATCGTGCGCCTGGATATGACAAAGTAAATATTAAAAATTTACAATTTAACTGGGTCTTTCCTTTATATATTTTTCAATGTACTTGGCTTGTATTTTAAACATGTTTCTTTACAAATTTTTTGGACCGTAATTTTACGATGCTAAGGAACATTTTGGAGTAAAAAAGAAATATCGATTTTTTAATTCCTTGAGCTAAAAGTACCTTCAAGAACAAAGGCAACCAAATACATTTATTATTAAATATTATTTAATTTTTATAAAGAAAAATAAGAAACTCACGTGACCAAGTTCATCTTCCAATTCAGCTACTTTTTCTAAAGCTGCAGTCTTCGTTTCACTGTCCTCCATTAGGGCAGCTACATCAAACACATTATCAAGATAAGCCGAGATTTGAACCTGTACATGAAATTATTAATCTTAATTAAAACAAAAAGTTTTTAATTCATCAACGTAACACCAAGAAACTAAATTAAATTATTACTTTTTCCAAATATATTTAAGTTTAAATTTAAGAAGCAATCTAAATCAAAGGAATTTGATTTCAACTTTTAGATATATCAGCATTCACAAACTGTAGAACTAACTGTAGTTTTGGAGTTGTAAGAATATTCTAAGATCTTAATTAGAACTAAAATCTGTACATTTCAAAAGTAACGTGTACGTTTAATAATGTTGTAATGATAAATAAAACAAGCGATAAATTTTTAAACATTTTTTTTTGCAGTTTATAAATAAAAATAATAATCACCTGCAAATCTTCGCTTTCTGTATGCCTTAATTTTTCAAGGTATTCATCAAGACCAAGCTTTGTGAACTCATACTGTAAGTGCACTCTGAAATTCATATCGTCTACAGAATGAACAACAATGTTGACAAATTGCATACATGCAACCATAAATTCAATATGAAAACTGTCATATTGGGTAAAATACGCCATTAATGTTGTGAACCTTCTCCTCTCCAAACATACTTCTTTAAAATTGTCAAAAGCAAATAGAATAATTTCATGTCCTCCTTTCACTAAACAGATCGCTGCTAATAGTTCCAATACAAGAGCTTTTGTTCTAAAACATAAAAAAAGTAAACTAATTTGAATTTCTAAATTCCGTGATGGAAATCTTAGAAATTTTAGTTCAGAATAATGGGGATTTTAATCATTCTCTGAATAGTTAGTGTATTAGTGCAAAAGAGGAAAAACTCCTTTGAAAAAATTCAAAAATACTTTGGAAACAATTATAGATTCAAACAAGTTTTCTATTATTAATAAATAAACTTTATAGTACAACTGCGTGGTTATCATTAAGCAGGGTTGCCACAAAAATTTAATTTTGTTTTTCCCTGACTTTTCCCTGATTTCCAGACTTTTTCCCTGACCCTAAAGAATATTCTGATTCACTCTAAAAATTATTAGATACTCAAAAAAATGTTCTATTACATTTATTTAATCAGGGTTGCCACGTTTTGCTATTTTCAAGTTCCCTGACCTTTCCAGGTTTTCCAGTTTAAAAAACAGAATTTTTCCAGGTTTTTAATACAAAAATTATTCGAAAGTATCAATATAACTTCATTTTTAAATAAATATTTAATAATTATTTTTTCATATAGAAATTAAAATTTTTAAAAATTTGAAATTCAATAACTTATAATAATTAAAACTTGCTACTTTGTGACTATTACTTCTTCAAAAATTTGTCATCATTACAATTATTCATTCTAAAATTTTCAACTAAAATTCTTCTTTATGTCAATTTTTTTAAAATAATTTTTCAAAAACTTCTTTGAAAATTTTCAAATTCTTTTGTTTACAATTTAATTTTATGAAATTTCGATTATTCTGACATTACTCAATTAAATTTTAAATATATTAGAAATTAAAAACTTTAAATAATTAAAAAAAATTCCAATAAATATTTTGAAAAAAATATAAATTCTACAGAATTCTTAATTAAAAGTATAAAAAGTTCAAATTTCGAAAGATTTTAATTCGAAACTTTTTCAAAATTCAACTATTTCTAAAAATCCACGCTATAATGCTTTCAATATTCAATTATAATCTAAAATTTTAACTGAAATTCATTTTTATAATTAATATTTATTAGAAAATTCTACAAGAATTCAATTATTTAACTACAAAAATAAATATTTTATTAAATAATTAAATGTTTCTTAAAATTAAATTTAATTTATAAAGAATTTTATCAACAAAATTTTTAAATAAGTTAATTCTATTGACAAATTTTAATAAAATTTTTAAGAATAATTTCAATTTTCAAAAAAACTTGATGAAAATTGTATTAAAAATAATTAAAATTCTGACAAGAATTTTATTATAATTTTTGAAAATAATTGAGTTTCGAAGAGGAATTTTTATTTTTTGTAAAGATAATTGAAATTTTTACGAAAATTTTTGTAAATTTTTCAACATAATTAGATTTTTACGAAGAATTATAATACTTTTGAAAATAATTGAATTCTTGAGACAAATTTTATTAAGATTTCTTTTTAAATAATTGAATTCTTTTGTGAAATTTTTTTGAAATAGTAGACATTGAAAATAATTGAATTTTGACAAATTTTTTAAATTAATTAAATTTCTACAAAGAATTTTATGAAAAAAATTTTATTGGTACAAAGAATTTCATTGTTTACACAATAAAATCAAGTTTTTGAAAAAATTTAAGTAAAAATATATTGGAAATAATAGTTAAATTGTAATAAATAAATTGTAAAAGTTTTTAAAATAATTGAATTTCTTTGCTGAATTTTAATAAAATTTTTAAGAATAATTACATTTTTCGAGGAATTTCATTAAAATTGTATTAAAAATCAAAAATAATTGAAACTTCTTCAAAATTATTTTCATCATTTCAATTCAATTATTTTTTTTTATTTTTTTTTCTAGAATTTTTAAATAAACTTCTTCTTTAAATCAATAATTTTTAATAATTTTTGATAATGTTCTTTTGAGAATTTACAAATTTATTTGAATTATAATTCAATTTTACAAAATCTTGATTATTCGAAAATTTTAAAAAATTTCGATCAAGCTTTTTGAAAAAAATTAGTTCCATAGAATTTTTAATTAAAAGTATGAAAAATTCAGATTTTAATTAAAAACTTTTACAAAGTTCAATTATTTTTAAAAATTGCAATTATTAGTAACTTCTCCAAAATTCAATTATTATCTAAAACTTTAACTGAAATTAATTTTTAAATCAATTTTTATTAGAAAATTCTACGACAATTCAATTATTTAAATACAATTAGAAATAATTTATTTATAGAATGTTTCTTAAAATTGAATTTTCCTAAAGAATTTTATCAACAAATTTTTTTTTTGAAAATAATTGAAATTTTGCAATGAATTCCTTTAAAGTTTTTGAAAATAATTAAATTTTATTACTTTTGAAAATAATTGAATTCTTGTGATGAATATTGTTATTTACGAAAATAATTGATTTTCTCCGAATGATTATATTATTTTTAAAAATAATTAAATTTCTAAAAATAAATAATAATAGAATTACTGCCAAGAATTTTATGAAATTTTTGAAAATAATTGAATTCTTGCTAAAAATTTTGTTATTTTTGAAAATAATTAAATTTCTGGGAATATTTTTTTATTTGAACTTTTACCAAGCATTGTAATACATTATTCAATAATAATTGAATATCTGCAAAGAAAATTATAAAATTTTTGAAAATAATTGAATTTCTGCGAAGAATTTTATGAAGTGTTTGAAAATAATTGAATTTGAGTTAAAAATTAAAATTTAAAAATTTTGTAATTTCTGCGTAGAATTCTGTGAATTTTTTTTTTTAAATAATTGAATATTCGTGTAGAATATTATCAAAATTTTTGTTCAATAATTTAATTGAGGGGCTGGATGCTATAAAGGGATACGCGCCATTTATTTAACATGGTGCCCCCTTATAGCATCCAGTCCTTTAATTCTTTTGGGATATTTTATTAAAATAGTAGAATATTAAAAATCATTGAGTTGAGAAAAATTTTTGAAAATAATTGAAATTATATCATTAATTTTATTAAAATTTTTGAAAATAATTGAATTCTTGTGATGAATACTATTATTTATAAAAATAATTGCATTTTGTCGAAGAATTTTGCTATTCACTTATAAAAATAATAGAAATATTGACAACAATTTTTTTTTAGATTTTTTGAAAATTATTTAGATTGAAGTGAAGAATTTTTTTAATTTTGAAAATAATTGAATTCTTATTATGAATATTGTTATTTATGAAAATAATTGAATTTTTGGGAATATTTTTGTTATTTATAATGATAATTGAACTTTTGCCAAGAATTCTATTACATTTTTCAATAATAATTGAATATATGCGTAGAAAATTATAAAATTTTTGAAAATAATTGAATTTCTGCGAAGAATTTTATGGAGTGTTTGAAAATAATTGAATTTGAGTTAAAAATTAAAATTTTAAAATTTTGTAATTTCTGCGAAGAATCCTGTGAAATTTTTATTTTTTTGAATAAAGTAATTGAATGTTCGTGTAGAATATTATCAAAAGTTTTGTTTAATAATTGAATTCTTTCAGGATATTTTATTAAAATAGTAGAATATTAAAAATCATTGAGTTAAGAAAATTTTTTGAAAATAATTGAATTTTATTACTTTTGAAAATAATTGAATTCTTGTGATGAATACTATTATTTATGAAAATAATTAAATTTTGTCGAAGAATGTTGCTATTCATTTATAAAGATTATTCAAATGTTGACGACAAATTCTTTTAAATTTTTTGAAAATTATTTGAATTTATGCGAAGAATTATGTTAATTTTGAAAATAATTGAATTTTACAATGAATTTTATAAAACTTTCTAAATATAATTGAAATGTTGACGAGAATTTTTTAAAAATTGTTTGAAAATAATTGAATTTCTGGAAAGAATTTTAATATTTATTAAAAGATAGTTCAATTCTTTCAAAGAATTGCGTTAAAATTTTTAAAATTGAAACTAATTTCAACAGAATTGAAATTAAATTTAAAAAAAAAATACTTCATTAAATGATTTATAAGTAATAACTTTATGGCAGTTCTTCAATAGAATTAAGTTATTTAAAAAAAAATTATTGGCAGAAGTAGAAAAAATGTAGGTTTCTTTAGAATTCGTCGTAATTTTATAGTTTATGAGGCAAACAAAAAGACACAAAAATTTAGCATTTTCTTATAAATTCTAAACATATAATTTTTTCCAGTACTGTTAATATAAAAAATCCCTGACTTTTCCTGATTTGCCTGACCTGTGGCGACCCTGTTAATTATATTATTTTATATATTATTATTTTTACTTATATTATTTCTTTAAATCTTTTGTTTTCATAGTGTAATTTTATGTTATTTAATTTGGGTAAAAGGATTTCTTTAAAAGTTTAAAAATTCAATTTTCAATTTATACCTTAAACTTTTATGCATAAGACTTAGAGCTATGCAGTTAATTGCCTCTCGATGTTGTATCACCATATTGAATCCGTACTAAAAACAAAATCATGAAAAGTTTCTTATTCGATCGAGATGTATGTATTTTAAAGCAATTTCTTTAGTCTCATTCAAAATATTTAGCAAACAGAAAAAATACATTAAAGTATTAATAAATATTCGGAAAATGTCGAAATTTAAGATTACTTTATTATTCATGATGGCACGCATGCAGAGTATGCAAACATGGATATCGTCCTTTGCTTCCCCCATATTTAATCGTGCTACGTGTCTTGATCGTCGTTTTACTCCTGGACTATCCTTCAAGTCATGTAAAGGTGGTCTGAGACATCCATTATTTAATGGTGAAGAATCAGCTGTTACAGCTAAAAGAATATCAAAATCAAAATTACCATATTTTTAATAAAAAATGGAGAATAGAAACCTCTCTTTTTTTCTATATATTTAAGAAAGACGTGGAAGTTATTAAAAAATTTCGATTAAGGCGAGGGGGTATATACTCCCGTATTGGAGTGTACACTCTTCTTGTAATAGTCGTGTAATATCGTGTAATATCGTGCAATATTGCGTAATAGTGCGTTATTACGTGGGTGTAAAACCTAGACATATCTCTGTATTGCCCTGTAATACCCTGTAATACTTGGTAATAAGTGTAATTTTAGCGTAATAAGTGTATTGGAGTGTACACGTTTTCAACCAGTAAATACCCCCTCGGATTAAGGAATCTTAATGTTTCCAGGTTTTCCAGGTTTTTAAAACTACATTTATATTTTACCAAATTTTTAATTCAAACCTTTTTGAAATTAAACATCTTATGAAAAATTGTTATAAAACACGAAAATATCGATCACTCCAATGCAATCGATATCTTCATGTTTTATAATAATTAAAAATTACCGACTGATAAAATCATCATTTTATACCTATTATTATTATAAGAATATTGTTACTGTAAATTATTCAAAATTACTTTCATTATTTTAATTCAATTATTTTTTCCACAATTTTTAACTAAAATTCTTCTTTATAAAGTGTTAATTAATTATTATTAATAATTTCTGAAAAATTTCTTTCAACATTTTCAAATCCTTTTGTTCACAATTCAATTTTACGAAATTTCATCGATTATTCAGGTATTCGGAAATTCTTCAATCAAATATAACTTCAAAAAAATTCAATTCAACTTTTACAAAAAAAATTAAATTTACGCAATTTTCAGTTAAAAGTATAAAAAATTCAAACATTCAAAGATTATAATTTGAGACCTGCTTTTCAAAACTCAATTATTATCTAAAGTTTTAACTGAAATTCATATTTGCATCAATTATTATTAGAAAATTCTACAACAATTCAATTCTTTAAATACAAAAAAAAATAATTTATTGAAGAATTCAATGTTTTTTAAAATTCAACTCTCATTTAAAGAATTTTATCAACAAATTTTTAAATAGGTAATTAAAATTCTTTTGACGTATTTCAATAAAATTTTTAAGAATAATTTCATTTTTCGAGAAATTAGATAAAAAATGTATTAAAAATAATTGAAACTCTGTAAAAAAATTTCATTGAATTGAGAAAAGTTTTTGAAAATAATTGAAATCTTGTCAAGAATTTTATTAAAATTTTTTTAAATAATTGAAATATTGCCAAGAATTTTATTAAAATTTTTGAAAATAATTGAACTTTAGAGAAAAATTTTAATATTTATAAAAATAATTGAAATTTTGACTATAACTTTTTTTAATCTTTTGACCATAATTGAATTTCTGGTAAGAATTTTATTACTTTTGAAAATAATTGAATTCTTGAGACGAATTTTTTAATAATATTTCTTTTTTAAATACCTAATTATTTTTAATACAAAAATAAATAATTTATTGAATAATTGAATGTTTCTCAAAATTCAATTCTCGTAAAGAATTTTATTAACAAATTTTTAAATAATTGAATTCTATTGACGAATTTTAATAAAATTTTAAATATAATTACATTTTTTAAAGAATTCGATTAAAATTGTATAAAAAATAATTGAAATTCTGCAATGAGTTTTATTATCTATGAAAATAATAATTAAATCCCTGTAAAAAATCGTATTACTACATATTTATAAAAATAATTGAATCTCTGTAAACATAAATTAAATATTTTTGAAAATAATATATTTATTGAGAAGACATTTATAAAAAATGTTTAAAATAATTCATTTATTTAAAATTGTAAAGGCAACTCTTTTAAAATTGAATTAAGAAAAATGAATTAGAGAAAAATTATATTTCAAGAATAAGCAAAATAACTTTAGAAATTTTTTTGATCTTAAAGGGGAAGCAAAATGTTCATGTAATGAACAATTTTTTCGTGAGATCAGGGCTCGAACCAGTGGAGCAATTCCACGGGAAGTGACCTGAAGAATTTTTGATGATTTTAGCAGTATTAATAATAGTTATTGAATTTGTTCCTTCATATACATAGACTAAAAATGTATAAAAGTTTTTTCGAAATTTTCCCAATTTTTTGAATTGCCGCTTACTCAAAATTTTGGTTGGTTTTTCAAAGAAGGGATATAACTTTTTTCTTTGTTATCCGATTAAGATAATTTTTTTGGAAAATACTCATAATAAGAAACACTTTAAAGAATAGAAATTTAAAAAAATTTTTTGAATCAAAATTTTGAAAAAACTACCTATTTGATTTGAAAATTTTTTTTTGTAGTTATTGTCTATAAAGTCAAGAATACTTCCTATAAATTTAATTATGGGACAAGAACAACTTTACAAGAAAAAAAAATAAAATGTCCAGCGTGGCTGGACAGGGTAAAGTTTTTTGACTTTTTCACTGGGATGCACCCTCAAATCTTGAGGGGAATAATTTGTTATAAAGTAGGATAGTTAAGAGAGAGAAATGAGAACATAACTAGAGGTTATGTTCTCATATATATATTTTTTTTCAAAAAAAAAGTTTTGTAATTTTTTGAAAATTAACCAGACATATACAACATAAAAATGTACCGGGTAGGGTTTTTTGAGTTTTTCACTGTGACGCACTCTGAAATCATGATGGGAATAATTTTTTTATAAAGTAGGATAGTTAAGAGAGTAAAATGAGAGCATAACTAGAGGTGTCGCTCTTAAATATAGAATAAAAAATATTTTTTTATTAAAAACTTTTGGAATTTTTTTGAAAAACAAATTCGAAAATTTTTTTTAATCTCTTTACTTGCCTTTTTAACATATTTAAATTTCATTAAAATCGATTCAGTAGTTTTCGAGAAAAATGCGTTTTTTGATTTTTCTTTCCCCCTCCATAACTCCCACAAAACTCAAAATTTTGAATTGAAAATTTCAGAAAATTACTTTCAAGTATGTAGGAATGTATGGGCAAAATATGAAAAAAATATATACTATAAAAATGTTTAAACAATGCATTGTTGTTATTTTTTCATAAATTGCACTTAGGGCTAGAGATTCTATATTTTTCAAAGTGCAATCCATTAAAAAATTAAAAACTATAAATCGTTTAAACAATGGTTAAATAATAAGTTTCTAGTTTTAAGTTCAGTAAATTAAAAACTTTACAAAACAAATTGTTTAAAGAATGTTTAAATAATTAATTTTTAGTTTTTATTTTATTCTTGAATGTTTTAGTTACAAAAAAATGACAACGTACAATTGAGAAAAAACTAGAAATTTCTAGCCCTAAGTACAGTTTACGAAAGAAATAACAATTAATTGTTTAAACAATTTAATAAACTGTTATACTTTTTTCATGTATCAGAAACACTCAAACATTCTTTTAAAAGGTTCTTGATTTTTTTTGGGCAGAAAAAAAAAATTTTTTTTAATTTTTTTCTTTAAAGTGCTTCTTATTACAAATTCAGTAAATATTATTAATATTGCTAAAATCATCCAAAATTCTTCACATCATTTCCCGTGGAATTGCTCAAAGATAATTTCATTTTCGTCAATTATTTGTTTAAAGTTTTTGAAAATATTAATAATTAAATTTCTGCAAAGAATTTTATTATTTATGAAAATAATATTGAATTAATTCAAAGAATTTTATTAGCATTTTTGGAATTAATTCAATTTCTACGATGAATTTTATTTTTTCAAAGATAATTTTATTTTCGTCAATAATTTGTTTAAAGTTTTTGAAAATAATTGAATTACGGACTTTACGGACCTTTTTTCAAAAAACCTAACTTTTACGGTTTAATTATTATATTTAATTATATTAAATTACTTACATGTTTGTAACCTTTCTGTAGATTCGTTTTTATCTTCTAAAAGTCGTTGTTCATGTCGCATCATAAGCAACCTAAAACTAAGGTAATCTATCAACGCATCAAGTCCTTGATTTTCTTCGTCTAAAAATTCTCGTACCCATCTATAAATAAAGAAAAATTTATAAATAAGACAGAAAATAGGTGAAAAAAAATATTCAATTAACTGACTTACTCTATGTGATTTGTGCGCAGAGATATTTCTAAATCTCGAAGAACCTGCGTTGATGTCGATTCGCCAACAATTTTTCTCTTCTGAAAGAATGTAAGGAAACGATACGACTGTATAATGATTAGTAACCATTCCTCACGAACAGGAATACTTGTGAAAAACGAAAATATTTTAATCAGTTGGTGCAGAAATAGCATAAATCCAAAAATAAAAAACTTTCGCGAACTAATAAAAACTATTTATTAGAAAAATTAATTCTTGTTTTGCATTTTATGGTAAACAAATGAATAGTCTTTTTTCAATTATGAAAGGAAAGATTCTCGAATGCAACACTAATTCAGATCAATCATTTTTATCCCAAAAAAACGATTCATTAAGAAAAACGTAAAAAAAAACTCTTTGGAAGAAGGAATTAATTTTTTCAGCTTCAATTGTTTTCTTAATTGATGAAAAAAGTGATCAAAATTGGTGAAATTTAATTAGTAGGTACTTGGACTTTATAAAAAAAAGTCCAGAAACAAAAATATATTTAAAATATTTAATTTCACTAAAAAGTTGCAATTTTGATTGTTTTTTACATTTTAAATGTTATCGTTGAATACTTGAATATAGACAACGTAAAAATAAGCTTATACTATTTCCACCCAAACTGCTTAATTTCTTTTTAAAATTAATTGTAAAATAATTTCAATACATTACAAAAGTAAACAAAAAATTGTACAATTTTCTAAAAGATATAAAACGTCTTTTTAAAAATTTTGTTTCTTCTCTTAAGTATCAGTATATTTGAAAACAAAAATCTATAAATATAATAAAATTAAAGAGACTTACTCGATGGCTTCTAGATGCTTTAGGATCTAAATACGTTCGTAGCTTTGTCAAATAATGCGATGGTGGATCCTTGGCTTGAACTCTTTCCTGTTAAGAATAAATGTTCTAATTAAATTACAGTTTCTTTTCAACTTTATCATAAGCAGAATGATTACAAAATTTATATGCTCCAAAGTTAATTTTTTTGAAAAAAAATGTTTCGGACATTATTTTCCTAAAACCATGTTTTAAATAATAACGATTTTAATTATTATTACAATACAGGGTTGCCACAAATATTTAATTTAATTAGGAATGAAAATTCTTCAAAAAAAAAGTAAATTCAAACCTTTTTGAAATTCAACAACTTATAAGAATATTATTACAAAACATGAAGAAGGCGATCACTCCGAGTCGATCGCCTTCTTCATGTTTTGAAGTAATTTAAATTATCATAAAATTTTTCAAAAAAAATGTTAATTATTTACAAAAATCCTAATAAAATTCATCGCAAGAATTCAATTCTTTTTACAAGTATAGTAAAATTTCTCAAAAAAATTTAATTATTTAAAAAAAATGTAATAAAATTCCTTGCAAGAATTCAATTATTTTCATAAATAATAAATCGATTATTCGGTAATTCATTTATAAATCAATTTTTATTAGAAAATTCCACGAGAATTGAATTATTTAAATACAAAAATACTTCCTCTATGAGGAAGTAATAAATAATTCATTAAATAATTGAAATTCTCTTAAAATTGAATTCTTATAAAGAATTTTATCGACAAATTTTTAAATAATTCAATTCTTTTGACGAATTTTAATCAAATTTTTAAGAATAATTACATTTTTCGAGAAATTCGATAAAATTGTATCAAAAATAATAAACCTTTGATGAGTTTTATTATTAATGAAAATAATTAAAATTTTCCCAAGAATTTTATTCAAGTTTATAAAAATAATTGAATTTCGGTGAAGAATTTTATTATTTATAAAAATAATTCAATTCTTGGGACGAATTTTATAAAAATCTTTTTGAATAATTGATAGGATTTTTCGAAAAATTTTATCAAATTTTGTATTTTAAATAATTGAATTCCTGAGGAAATTTTATTACTTATGAAAATAATTGATTTATTTCGAAGAAAATTATTAAAAATTTTGTAAATAATTGAATTCTTGTGAAATTTTGTCAAGAATATTATTAAAATTTTTGAAAATAATTGAAATTTGGAGAAGCATTTTATTATTTTTAAAGATAATTGAAATTTTGACGAGAATTTTTTTAAATTCTTGAACATAGTTGAATTTTTGCGAAGAATTTTTATAACTTTTGAAAATAATTGAATTTCTGGAATCATTTGTAACTTTTCAAAAATTCAATGTTTTCTTTAGTATTTTTAACTAAAATTTTTCTATAAATCTAATATATTTATGATAGTTTTTGAAAAAATAAGTTATTTAAAAATAAATTATTGTCAGAAATACAAGAAGTTGAAGGTTTTGTATTAAAATTCGTGATAATTTCATAGTTTACGAGTCAAACAAAAAAATCATCAAAATTCAGAGTTTTCTCGTGAATTTTTAAAAATCAATTTTTTCCAGTACTTTTATTAAAAATCCCTGACCTTTCCCTGACTTCCCTGACCTGTGGCAACCGTGCAATAATATTTGTAAGTACGTCTGCATGAAAAAAGCGTGAAAAATCTTAATTTTCTATTCTTTTTTATTAATATACTTCGGTAGACAAATCGAATTATACAATTTTTATTAATTTATCTTTAGTTTAAGTATTTAAATTCATGGTTTATTTAGAAAAAAGAAAAAGGTCCATTTTATCGTTCCCTTGCAAAGGTTACCTAAGTGTGGGGCCGCTGATTACAAATCTAGATTCCAAAAATTCAAAATTTTTTGATTTTCTCAAACTTGCTTGAAACTTGATACTCGGGGGGTTTTTTAGGTCGCTAATTACAATCAATAAATAAAAATTATATTTCGTTGTTAATTAATAGAAATAATTTATGAAATCTTACTTATAAACAAAGTGTATATATTACTAACCAAAGTAAAGTATTAAATGATACACAAAGCAGTAAACAGAAAATGTGAGTATCAAGACGTCACACATTTTTGAATTGCATATAATTCAGAAACACATTTTAACGAAGAAAATAAAAAAAGTGCTCAGAAAACTTTTTATAGTAACAGTTGTGATTCCTATACTAAAGGCGCTATTCGTTGAATCACTGACCTCAATTTAAAGAAGTGAAGGAGACGCAGATAAGAAAAAAGGATGCTGTAACTTTTTTGTAACTCGTTATATGTATCATTTAAAAATACAGCATGCATTACATCCGTCTAATGTTATTCACTTGCTAGTATTACGAACAAAGTCTACTGTATGAGAGTAACGTGTAAATAAGTTTCTCTCGTGTTTCAAGAAAGGTATAATAAACGTGATAAATTCATCAATCTTAAACAATAAAACTTTCATCAAAAAAATTAATTTATGTCCTTTAAACTTATTATGTACAAAAAGTCAATCGTATTCTTACATTGATGTATTTGCATAAAGTTTGTTACTCGAGAGTTCTTTTGGTTACTGATTATGAATCTAAAGTATGATTTTCAAAATTCATTATTTAATCCAAGATGGAGGCAGGTCTTTATAAAAATTGATACTTTTATGAAAGTTGGTAACTAGGTATTTTTGGGGTCCCTGATTTTACAAATCTCAATCTCAATTTTGTATCCAAGGATTTTTGGAATTGCTGAGTGAGAATATGAAGCTGGATTTCTATATTTTTAAACCTTTGAGAAACAATTTTTTTTTAAATCGCAATTATCGCCGTTATCGAGGCAGATGAAACGTAAATATTATAGCCAACTTTTGATGGTTACTGAATGAAAAGGGATACCAAGCCGAGTGAACTTAAAAAGAAAACCGTTGCACACATCTATTGAATTTTAAAAAATTCTATTCAGATTAATAATCAGCTACTCGAAAAACTCATACATACAAAGTTTCATAAAAATCTGTCAATTTAAAAAAAATTATTATTCTACCAAAAATCTGACATGCTTTTTGAGGTAAGGAAAAAATTCTGACGTGATGAAGCAAAACGGAAGTCGGATTCGTGATCAGAGTACCAAAATATATGGAAATAGGGTTTTTCGGTTAAAAGTGAAGAAATAATTACAGGATTACCTGCTTATTAAAAAGAAGAAATATTAAGATACTATCAATTATAAAGATTAAAAAACTACTTGCAACAAGTAACATATGAATAAAACCACCGAACCGGTCGATTTCATGTTACTGACAAATCTTTGTTTTAAAAGTAATCAATTAATTATTTTCATATTTTAACTGCTTTAGAAAATCTCTAAAAAGCTATTGCAGGGTCGCCACGCTTTTACTGATTTCAAATTCCCTGACTTTTCCAGGTTTTCCAGATTAAAAAACGGAATTTTCCCAGGTTTTTAAAACTACATTTATATTTTACAAAATTTTTAATTCAAACCTTTTTGAAATTAAACATCTTATAAAAAATTGTTATAAAACATGAAAATATCGATCACTCCAATGCAATCGATATCTTCATGTTTTATAATAATTAAAAATTACCGACTGATAAAATCATCATTTTATATCGGGGGAAGTCCCCTAGTACCGGACACCTAAGGTTTTCATGAAATAAAATTAAAACTACTTCAAAAAATATGACTTCATTTATGAATTAATTAACTCTACAATATATAACACCAAAATCAATTAACAAAAATAGAATATTTTGATAAACTTTTTTTTTAAGTTCAATTTAGTTTTGGTATCGAAATACTACAATTTTGAAATTGTCCCCTAGTACCGGACAGTCTAAAACTTTTAATTTTACGCACAAGATATTATTGAGAAATGATGCAGCGATCACAGACTGTATTTTTACTGTATTAAATGAAGTGTTATTGCCAAAGATATTGTAAAATAAAATCACCAACTTTAGAAAAATTTCTTTTTCTTTTTTTTTATTTAAATTTTACAGTACATCCTACCAAAAACACATTCTCCCCAGGTGCGAATTTAGGTTGGCCGCCAGAGTTTGAAGGTTGGCCCAAGGTTGGCCTAACTTTGGCAAGCAAAGTTTTGGTTGCCAGAGTTTGCCCAACTTTGGCAAGTACTTGTGCCCACAGTTGGCCCGACTTTGCAAGCCAACCATAAAATGCAGAGTTTAACCAACCGTCGGGCCAACTTTGGCGACAAAGGTTGGCACAACTTATCCAAACGTAGTTTAAAAGACTTTCAGTTTCGGTTGGCCGAACTCTGGGCCACGGTTGGCCCAACGGTTGGCAAAACTATGTGAAACACAGTTTAATTGACTTACATTATTTTGGTTGGCCGAACTCTGGGCCACGGTTGGCCCGACGGTTGGCAAAACTATGTGAAACGCAGTTTAATTGACTTAAACTTTCTTGGTTGGCCGAACTCTGGGCCACGGTTGGCCCAACGGTTGGCAAAACTTTGTGAAACGCAGTTTAATTGACTTGATTTTTCTTGGTTGGCCGAACTCTGGGCCACGGTTGGCCCAACGGTTGGCAAAACTCTGTGAAACGCAGTTTAATTGACTTGATTTTTCTTGGTTGGCCCAACGGTTGGCAAAACTCTGTGAAACGCAGTTTAATTGACTTGATTTTTCTTGGTTGGCCGAACTCTGGGCCACGGTTGGCCCAACGGTGGGCAAAACTTTGTGAAACGCAGTTTAAATGACTTAAACTTTCTTGGTTGGCCGAACTCTGGGCCACGGTTGGCCCGACTGTTGCAGCTTAAATATACATTTTGCGTTATGCACTCCCATGTGAGCGTAGCGTAGTGGTCAGTGTATAAGTCTTCGGTGCGTTAGGTTAGGGGTTCGATCCCAGCGAGCGATAGATATTTTCGAAAATGTATGTATGAGATTGTGTTTAATAATAATAGGTAAAGGTTATATCTGATGTTCCCGCTAATAATAACGTGTTAATTGTTTAAATAATGTAGTTTTTTAATAATTTTTTACCTTTGGCTGTTGAAGTTGGCCAAACTTTGAAAATTGTGGTTGGCCCAACTTACGCATCTAAAGTTGTGCCAACTTTGGCGTCAGTCTTTGGACCAACCTTTGAAATGTATAGTTGGCACAACATATGCATTGTAAGTTGGGCCAACTTCCTTATGAGTTGTCGGGCCAACCATCGTCGCCATTAGACGGTCGCCGTTATCATCTGTATGGTTGGCCCAACCTCTGGCACGAGAAGTTGGACCGACTTTGTAAAAGTTGGCCCAACTATGGGCCGACCAAAAAATCGCACCTGGGTCATTAAGTGTATGATTGGTTCAACGAATATTCCTGTCTAATATATTCAAATAAAACAAAAGTGACTTAACTATTCACTTATTGGCTGAGTTTACCTACAAAAACCAATTTTTTAACTATCCGGTACTAGGGGACAAGCAATCCTCAAAATTATGTTATTTTATACTAACACCGTTAAGAAATTAAAAAAATCTTTTACAGTCTTGGAATTATAGTTAAACCCTCTCTTTAATGCAAGTTGAAATAAACACGTGAGCCCAAAACTATAGTAGTAATCGCACTTTGAAATTTATACGATGCAACGTCCACTCGCTAAAAAAACAATTTAGTGCTCTCATTGGCCATTCGCGTTATTGACAAACCGAGCCCTCTGATTCTTTATTATCACGTTCTTCCGCGACTTTTTTGACAATTTTTTAATCGGATGATTTGTCATTTGTTGAAGAACTAGAAGTGTCCGGCGCTAGGTGCCGTCCGGCGTTAGGGGACTTCCCCCTCTATTATAAGAATATTGTTACTGTAACTTATTCAACATTACTTTCATTATTTTAATTCAATTACTGTTTTCCACAATTTTTAACTAAAATTCTTCTTTATAAAGTGTAAATTAATTATTATTAATAATTTCTGAAAAACTTCTTTCAACATTTTCAAATCCTTTTGTTGACAATTCAATTTTACGAAATTTCATCGATTATTCAAGTACTCGGAAATTCTTCAATAAAATATATATTAGAAAATAAAACCTTCAAATAACTTCAAAAAAATTCAATTCAACTTTTACAAAAAAATTAAATCTACACAATTTTAAGTTAAAAGTATGAAAAATTCAAACATTCAATATCAAAGATTATATAATTTGAGACCTGCTTTTCAAAACTCAATTATTATCTAAAGTTTCAACTGAAATTCATATTTCAATCAATTATTATTAGAAAATTCTAAGACAATTCAATTATTTAAATACAAAAAAAATAATTTATTGAAGAATTGAGGCCTTGGATCCAATAACTCGCCCGACGCTCGAAGGCACGCGCTAATACCAGTCGGGTAGCAGTGAGTGGCCCAGAGGCGCTCACTGCTCACTGACTGGCAGTTGCGCGTTCCTCCAAGCGTCGGGCGAGTTATTGGATCCAAGGCCTCAATTGAATGTTTTTTAAAATTTAACTCTCATTTAAAGAATTTTACCAACAAATTTTTAAATAGGTAATTAAAATTCTTTTGACGTATTTCAATAAAATTTTTAAGAATAATTTCATTTTTCGAGAAATTAGATTAAAAATGTATTAAAAATAATTGAATCTCTGTAAAAAAATTCCATTGAATTGAGAAAAGTATTTAAAAATAATTGAAATTTTGTCAAGAATTTTATTAAAATTTTTGAAAATAATTGAAATATTGCCAAGAATTTTATTAAAATTTTTGAAAATAATTGAATTTTAGAGAAATATTGAAATTTTGACTATAACTTTTTTTAAACTTTTGACCATAATTGAATTTCTGCTAAGAATTTTATTACTTTTGAAAATAATTGAATTCTTGAGACGAATTTTTTAATTATATTTCTTTTTAAATACCTAATTATTTTTAATAGAAAAATAAATAATTTATTGAATAATTGAATGTTTCTCAAAATTCAATTCTCGTAAAGAATTTTATTAACAAATTTTTAAATAATTGAATTCTATTGACGAATTTTAATAAAAATTTAAATATAATTACATTTTTCGAAGAATTTGATTAAAATTGTATAAAAAATAATTGAAATTCTGCAATGAATTTTATTATCTACGAAAATAATAATTGAATCCTTGTAAAAAATCGTATTACATATTTATAAAAATAATTGAATCTCTGTAAACATAAGTTGAATATTTTTGAAAATAATAGAATTATTGCTAAGAAATTTATAAAAAATGTTTAAAATAATTCATTTCTTTTGGAAAATTTTATTAAAATAGTAGATATTGAAAATCATTGACTGGAGGAAAATTTTTGAAAGAAAATTGAATTTGTTAAAAAGAATTTCATTAAAATTTTTGAAAATAATTGAATTTTGGAGAAAAATTTTAATATTTATAAAAATAATTGAAATTTTGACTATAACTTTTTTTTAAACTTTGGACCATAATTGAATTTCTGCGAAGAATTTTATTAATTTTGAAAATAATTGAGTTTCTTTGATGAATTTGAATAAAATTTTTAAGAATAATTATACATTTTTCGAGAAATTCCATTAAAATTGTATTAAAAATAATTGAAATTTTGCGATGAGTTTTATTATTTATGAAAATAATTGTAAATCTATAAACTTTTGATTATTTATGAAAATAATTGAATTATTGCGAAGAAAAATTGCAAAGGCAACTCTTTTAAAATTGAATTAAGAAAATTGAATTAAAGAAAAATTAGATTTCAAGAATAAGCACAATAACTTTAGAAAACAATAATTTTCCAGGATTCCAATCAAAATTCCCTGACATTTCCAGGTTTTCCAGGCTTCCAGGTTGCGTGGCAACCCTGTAATTGAACTAAGAAAATTTAATAAATTTAAGCCTAGTTGCTTTATAAAAATAATAAAATAGAGTTAATTAATGTTAAAAAATGAAATTTGCAGTGTTACTCTAGATAAAAGTTTTAATTCTGATGTTCATAACTTTTATGGCATAGAACGAAACAATTCCAAACCAAGCGTTACTCATTATTTTTTAACCTTTAGAGGGCCGGTAAATTTGCGCAAATTTTAGTAGTTTTTTATTAAGAAAAATTTATAAATAAGAGGTCAATACGATAAAAAGATTCGTCAAAATAAATGGTAGCCACTATAGTGGCCACCTCGGTTCTCTAAAGGTTAATATTAAAATTTCTAGAAACTTTATACAATACCTTTTGAGGCGACAAACCAAATAAAATTTTTCAAAATAGTACTTATTATATACTTATTATAATTCTAGTATTCAGTTGCCAAATTCTATCTCTAATTTATAATGTTTCAAAATTGAAAATTACAAAATATTTTTAATCATTAATTCATTTGGTTCATTATAAACGTATCACACAACATGAAAAATTAAATAACTTTTCATTTGTTATGTTTTTTAAACTTGTGTTAAATAAAATGAACATAATATCCGTTTCATGGTTGAAATAATTACAGAAATACAGAATTAGAAACATACATGCCAAAATGAAATTATTTATTAATTATTATATTAATTATAAATACATAAATATTGATTAATTAATAATAACATTTTATAATGCAAAATGTTTTGCACATATTACAAAAAAAACAAAAGAAGATGGAAATACATAGTCTTGATTATATTTTATGAAGAAAAGCTCATATTTTCGTTTTTTGCTTTCAACTTGCACGGCATTAAAATAAAATGAATCACGTAAAGAGATAATTGTTTTGGAATACAATTTAAAGAAAATGAACTATAAATAAAAGGTGTGTTTAAAATATGAAAATTTACATTTTCACAAGTGAAAATCGACCAGTTCTGTAGATTTGCACAGATGCCTTAAATAAATTAAATGTTACTATTCTAAAAAAAAGGTCGAATGCTCCACTTCGCTCCCAATTGCTGCATACACAAATTGTGTACATAATATAAACAAAAAGGAAAAGCATAAACATTTATAGAAATTTTACTCACTTGATCACAGATTATGTCCCACTTTTTTTCGTTATCGTACTGTTTTAATAGCTTTGCCTTGTCTGGCGGCAAATCCATTGAAGCCTGTAACATAAAAAATAAAAATTTTAAAACAAAGCTGTAATAACTTTTCACACGGATTGTTGTTATAACATTTAGAATTCAGTGTTCGTAAATATATTCATATTAGTAAAGTTATAAACAATAATTTAAATACCGTCAACCGGGGCTATTTTGTGCAAGCGAGGTTTTTAATGTAATAAAATCTTTAAAATGGATTATTTTAATTTGATATTTTTTTTAAATATTGTTCGATTTCATAACAACAGAGGGTAGTAATTGTTATTGTTTAGTTTTTGTCAATTAACAGTAAAAAAAATCTTAAAAACAGAAAAGTGTTAAAAATTTTGAAAGTTCTGAAAAATTATACCAGATCTCCTAGAGTTTTAATGTGTCTCATTAACCTGTGCTGTTAATTAATTAATTGTGTTGTTTTTATATATACGTAGTGCACTAACTTTTTGTTAATTGTTGTAAAAAGAAAAGTGGAGAAAAACAGTGGGGCTATTTTGTGTATTTAAAAAAATCAAATATTTTTTAGAACTTTGTTATTTAGTAAGTAAAGGAGATTCTGTGCATCGTTTTTATACATTTTTGTCTTAATTTTTGGCCAAGAAACTATAAATAAGTTAATTAAAAACTTTAAAACGATTAAATTTTTTTATTTTTTTAGCACAGTATTGAAACTCTGTCTACTTAAACTTTAAAAACCAAGCTTTCAAATTCTGCAAGTGGACGCAGATAAAACGAATGGCCTTCAAAAAGTTACATAAATTATTTAAAATTGCTAATTATTTTTAAACTGCAATAAAAAAATATTCAACAGGTGTTTGTTGTTTAGAATAGAAAGAATGTAATATTTATTTAAAAAAGAAGTTATTGATGTTTTCGATTAATTTTACAATTAAAGAGATTCGTAAATAAATAAATGTAACAGAACATTTTTTTAAGTAACATTTTTTCATTAATTTTCTAAAAATTTAAAAAGTTTCAATATCATTTTCAATTAAAATTTTGTAATTGACAAATAGAATTTATAAATATTTTTTTCCTTTATTTTTAAAAAACTTTGAATTTTATTATAAAGCAATTGTAATTAAGAAATAGAAAAGATGCAAAATTATAATAAACAAAATTTATTTGTTAATAATTTTTTTTTTAATTTAAAATTTTTTTAATTTACAAAATGAATTTATTTTTATTCATTTTTGTATATGTAAAAAATCTTTAAATAAACATTGAAATCTTATGTTCAGGTTTTAATTATCAACAGTTTCCATAAAAAAGAATTGCCTAAAATAATTCTAATAACTTGAACTTTTATTTCCCTTTGGTCATTTTGATGTGCCAATTGACTAACAAAAGAAATTTTGATGTTTCAATGGTTTAATTAAAGAAATATATGATAAACATCACGATTACGATCAAAAAGGTTAAACGCGAGGAATAAAAAGATTAAAAGCTTATAACTTTTTTCACAATTAACAAAAATGTTGTAGCTGCTCCGAACACAATATTCTAGAGATATGCATTCAATTAAAAAATTTTTAAACATGTAAAAAAATTTAAATACCCTCCCCCACCATCTCTAAAAATTATATAGAGGCACAGTAATTTCAAAATTGTTTAAAATTTTCTTTGCAAACTTTTTAGCATTTTATGGAAAAATAAGAAAGTGAGTTCAAATCAGAGACGTGAAATGGCTTGCAGCCAAATGGTATACATATGCACAGCTATTTTTGCACTGTAGAATAAATGGTCATGTCTGCAATGTGTTGAGAAGGCACCCTTTTAATCTTTTTTTTTATGACGAGCCTGTGAATTAGTCTCTTATGAAGTAATATTAAAAAACTACATTTTAAAGTATATATGGCATTTATTAGTTCACTAGTATCGCAGAAGAAGCGTGGTAATTTTGTGAGGGGTACATGGTACAAATGACTTCGGTAGAGGGTAAAAATCAACAAAGGTGAATGGTAAAAATGACAAAAAGTAAAAAAATTACCCAAATATAACTTCACTCAAAAGAAAATGCGAAAATGTCACAACATAAAATTATTTAATTATTAATATTATTAAAAATTATTTCAGGGTTACTTAATCAAAAAAATGTTCACATATTTACCTGGATTATATTTTGATATGGGTTTTGACATTATATTTGTATTTTTAAAATATTTCCTGGAAAATTATTACTTTCTAAAAGGTAAATTAGTAAATTAATTAATCTTCGAAATTGTTTTGTATTTCTCCTTCTACTTCAATTCACACATTAAATTTTATGAATATATAAAGATTACTTTTACAATAGCCAACAACTATATTGACTTTTCACTGAATTTTTTCTAAAAAGCTAATCTTATTTCCTAAATAAACATTAGGGTTCCGTTCACGCAATGAACCGTAACGGAACCCTTATAGTTAGAGACAGGAAATTTATGCTTTTCATCGAGACGATTTATGCTTTCGAAATACTATCATATATACCTCAATTATGCTCTTGAAAATGTTTTCTATGCCTTTATTATGCTTTGCACTTGGAAAATTTATTCCTTCACTTAATATTTATAAAAACTATACTTAAATTTAAAAATGAATTTACAAATAGAAACTTTTTTGCGGTTATTGTTGCAATATCCCTAACTTTAGAAAACACATTGAAATATTATAAAAATGTACCTATAGTATAAAACTAATTTTGCTGATCCAAAATCTTTTAAATGCTAATTGAAATTTATATTAAAGGTGGAAGAAGTTAGCAATCTCTCCGAATCAATTTCTCACATATAAATTTCTTGAATAAATAATATAATTACTATGTACTAAATTAACAATTTTTAAGCCTTGTCCTATCGTGGGCAAACGATGGGATTTATTTATTCAGGGTTGCCACAAATATTTAATTTTTTTTCCCTGACTTTTCCCTGATTTCCAGACAAAATTTTCACTTTTTCCCTGACCCTAAAGAATATTCTGATTTACTCTAAAAATTATTAGATACGAAAAAAAATGTTCTATTAATACATTTATTTACAAATTTCTTCAAAAGTACAATTATTCAAAAACATCAATAACTTCTTTTTTAAATAAATATTTAATTATTATTATTTTTCTGTAGGAATTAAAATTCTTTAAAAGTGATATTTGCTCTACTATCTGTGACTTTACCGGCTGGGCGTGACGTCACATTAGACATCTCTATTTAATTTAGGGGTTAGGTTGCCATATTTATTCATTTCGCGCCGGATAAGGAAGGGATTTCTCAAGATGGTTAATTTGTCCCTCTGTTAGAGAAATGGCACGAATATCTGTCAATGGTGAATTTGAACATTTAGATTGTTATCCAATAGCTAACTCTCAAATATGAACGATTTGTCCCTCCAGATGTTTAGTCCAATACTCCAGTTTTCTCAGTGTATAAAAAATAATTAAAATCCTGCGATGAGTTTTATCATTTATCAAAATAATTAAAATTTTCCTAAGAATTTTATTAAAATTTTCATAAAATAATTGAATGTCAGAGAAGAATTTTATTATTTATAAAGATACTTGGAATTTTAACAAGAATTTTTTTTTAATTTTTGAACATAATTGGATTTTTGCGAAGAATTTTATTACTTTTGAAAATAATTTAATTCTTCCACTCCGCCGCTGGTTGTCCACTGCCGAACATCATCGATGTCTTCGATGTGCTGGGAGAAGTGGATTCATATCCACTGCCAGACATGATTGACATCATGGATATGTTCGGTAGACCTTGTCGTGGTGGCGGGGCTTTCAACTAAAGGACAACCAAGCAGCAAGAAAAAATGAATTCAAAAAATTCTGAGAAGGTACCCCATGTGAGCAGGCCGGAAACGGGAAATCTCACCATCGGTCCCAGGACCGATGCTCAAGTGCGCGCGGATTGTGGGGGCGCACAATTTCTTGCAGTGCCACGAGTGATCGTGGAAAGGGTAGATCCACAGAACATCGTGGAAAATAAAAAAACGAGGTCATACGAGAATAGTAGCAGCAAAAGCTACAAACAAGGGGGACCTTCTGATTAAGTTCAGAGGAGACTCCGACAAGGACGCTTTCACCGCCGAGGTCACCAAAGCGGTTGGAAGCATGGGTAAGGTGCAGTCATTGGATCGAAGAGTTACACTCGAGATCAGTGATTTGGATTGCCTTACCCAAGAAGCTGAGGTGCAACAAGTGTTGTCTGAAGCAATGGGTAAGCCAGGAAACAGGAGAGTGACGGTCTTAGGACCCAACCGCCGAGGGATGAAGCTCGCGGTTGTAGTCACCAACCTGGAAGAGGCGAACAGGCTGGAGAAATTGGGACACGTAAAAATTGGTTTTATGTGTTGCCCAATCAAAAGAAGAGTAATGGTCGTCCGGTGTCATCGATGCCTGGGATACGGCCATATTGGAGCCAAATGGCAGAAGGAGGACAGATCGGCTGCGTGCTTTAAGTGCGGTGAGGCCGGTCACAGGTTCTCCAACTGCAAAAAGAACGCAAGCTGCTTTTTGTGCACTGAAAAGTTTGGCAATAAGGTGTCAACCACCCATATTGCAGGAAGTGGAGGATGCGGAGTCTTCAGGACGGCCCTTGAGGGAGTGAAGAAGACTCTCGCAAGGACTAAAAGTAAATAAGGAATATTAAAAGGAGCGAATAATTTTTAATTATTTATTTTATTTATTTAAATAGTTTTAAATTTTTAACTAAAGACGCAGGATAACCGCAGAGAAAGGCAGAAAGTCGCATTGGCGACAGAGTTGGAGCGCCACCCTCGAAGGCTAAAGTCTTACGACAGTTCCGAGGGAGGGTAAAGGGCTCCAGAAGAAGGGTTACGGGTTTTAGTGGGTGGGGCTGGCAGTAGGTCGCCAGTTTATTAAATTTTCTATTTTATATATTTATTTTTATTTTTTTTTATATTTCCTTTTGTTTCATCACACCAACCCCACATAACCTTGGAGTGCGGAATCCAAGGTATCTGTAGGCAGATTTCCCAAAATTCCCTGAGCAAAAAAAAAAAAAA